GAGATTAAGACCCTGAGGGGAAGTTAATCTGAAGAGTACAGTACAGGAGGCAGGTATAACATACTGTGTGCTATAAAATATTTCTCATTTGTATATATCAGTTGTTGGTTTCTCTGTTGTATTTGATATAAATGAAAAATTATCCTGGGGAATATCTTGGAAATGTATAATGCTGTGTTGAGAAGCTCTCTCTATATATTTATATAAAAAAAGAAAGGATTTCTAATCTAATTTTAGAAAACAACTCCCTGAACAATATATTCTCGCACACCGGAAATCCAGCGTAGCTCGCAACAACATGATAATCAAAGAATAAAAAGTGTTGTTCAGATAAACAAACCAGAAGAATATCTGAAGAAGTTAACAGACCGAGAAAGGACTACGTTACTGTACTACACCACGAAGAGGTAAACGGAGGATTCGTTTTTGAAAATTTACATAGCTTATAGATACTATATTTTACCATACGACACCATCAATGTACAGTTTTCTGCAGAAGTTTGTGCATCAGTGGGCAAATTACATTCTTTACAGCATGTTGTCTTATAAAAATCTTTAAGGTCTGTTAATTTAACAAAGCTTTGATGCTTTAAAAGTTAGCTAGCTATTAAATAGTAAGATCAATTTTGTGCATGCTGCAATTTTTCTTAAGTTAATGAAACAAGAATCTGGGCAAAAGGGTTTCACTTCAAAAACTTTGCAGTCTCCTCAGAGGTGCAAAACTTTTGCAAAAAACTGCATGTGTGAAGACAACCAGTCACATAATATGCAGTATATATCCGCTTTCTCCTCAGGTACATCACGTTCGACTTGTGACCTGTAGGTGATATTTTATAAGTAACTAACGCCATTTATCTTCTTCACACCTCGAGCTTAATAAATAGACAAATCACAGCAATAATAAGTTCCATGTTAAAACTGGAAGACTTTCACAGTACATGCTTGCTAAGTAGCAAAACACATGTAATAAATTAGATAGAAACGTTTCTTTATAAAGAAATCCACAACATTTAAAACAGTGATTCCTGTGCTAGGTTTTCCCCCCTTAGCTTTGAGCTCCGCGGTAGCTGTGTGATTTTTGTTGACGTTGCCGTTGAGCTAGAGACACAACAGACGGCACATTCCCACTGAGGTAAATCCAAAATGGCAGACATAGTTTTTGCAAGTTGACCTGAGGGATCCCAGAAGTGAAGAGTAGCTCATGTGTAGGAAGACCTGGCAAGGTTTTAAAAGACATAAGTTCTTTGTGTTTTGCTGATAAAAATGGCTGGGGTTCCAAGGAGGGCTGTTCCACACAAGTAAATCTGTCAGCTAAAATTAAGTAATTACAAAATTTTAAATACAGTTTGAGGAAGGTAAGAAACATGACTTTTAGGTGTTTTTTTTAAATATACAAACCAATTCTTTATCCAAAGTCCTTTATAAATAAAACATTGGTCGTTCTCTGCTGGTGAGGTTGCAGGACCCAGTTTAAGGCGCTTTGTTAGGGATTTTTTTAGAGATACAATCCAAAAAAGGAGAAACATTAATTCATGAATTCATGAAAGCATGGGAAACTAATCCCAATTAGAAATTATAGCTTGTTTTACATAGTTGATATATTTGTGTTCGTACCACACCAGAGTATGTGCTGTGGTGCCAGCAGTGTGCTACTTTCCATCTGTAAATGTGCACTGTTGTACTATGTACTGTGCAGGACTCACAACTACCCATGCAGGGGAAGTTTACAGCACCGTTTGTGCCGCTATCATACATTATCTACAACCTACAAGTCAAGACTATTTCAGTAAAAGTGTGGGCTGGGGAAAAGGAACAGAGCTCGCTGTCATTATCACAGTATGTATCCACATTGTGTTTCTGTGTATGATGATACTTTCATATGAGGGACACCAACAGCTGTAGAGCCTGATAAAAGTACAGGACTGTGTAGCCTCATTGCTTTAGCACTGAGTGTACAGTCTGTCCAGTTTATGCTGTGATGACTGGAAACCACAGGCTTGCAAAAACAAACAAACTGAAGGTTGGGAAAGAGAAAATAAAATAAAGGTCAAATGAGTCAGAAGAGAAAATTTAGAAGGGAAACAACTTATCTCTGCAAAGAGCTGAGAGAAGTATTTGAATTACAGCGACTGCGTGATGCCCTGTGCGTGGGTGTGACATGGGTGGGGGAGTAATTCTGATTAGTTACTGCCCTGTGTGTGGGTGTGGCTGGTCCCGGTGAGAGATTCTGATTGGTAGCAGCAGCTCTGTGGGAGGGAGAGGAGTACTGGGCCTGCTGAGGACAGCCATGGCAGTGAGTGGGGGAGTCACACCCTGCTACAGGTGAAGAGGAAAATAATGGGGATGAGGGAAGTGGTGAGGTAGAGAAGGAGCGGTGGAGTGGGGAGGACGCTGGAGACACGAGAGGGCTGGTCTGGAGACGCCACAGCAACTCCTCGTTGTTCCGACTCAGGCGCTTCTTCTCAGTGCTCTCCTTCTCAACGGACTCGTGGAGGTTTGCGTTCTCCTCAGACAGTTGTCTGCAGGGAAAAAGACAAAAAGGGAGGTAAAGTTAACTTTCGCCTCAAAGGTTGACTCTGGATGTACCTACAGCAGAGGTAGGCATGAAGTAGTGAATGCTGAGCATTAATGTTAATGATGATGACTCGATGCCTCTTACCTGGACAGGGCTAGGTTCTTTTCAATGCGAGCTTTAAGATCTTCATTCTGCTGTTGCAGAACCTGCACTTTTTCCTCGAGGAACACGTTCTTTTGGGCCTGCTCAAAAGCAGAAAACAACCATACCGCAATCTATCATTATACAGACCACACTGACCTTTCTGTCTATTCAAAATAGCGTGAATTTGTGGAAAAGGCAGTGTAGAAGATGCTGGTTAAGGTGGCTTATTTGAGCCTACCACTTTCTCCAGGTCAGAGATCTTCTTCTCCTGCTGGTGTATCTGCTGGTTCTTCATTTCCACGACCTCCTTCAAACTCTTGAGGTCTTGCTCGATGTGTTGATATGGCGCTAAAGCATCCTGCCATAAAACAAGCGCATTTAAAAATAAATGAATGAAAGGGAGTGTTTGAATAAAAGGCACCCAGTGTCTCAGAAGTATGCCAAGTTTCTGTTTGCGCTCTTTGTATATATATTCAGGGTATTTACTCACCACTATCTGCTCATCTGTGCTCCTCCTCAAAGCCTCCTCAAAGCGTTTGGCCTTGTCCCTCAGACTCTGGTTTTGAAAGGTGAGCGTATCCACTTGATCCTGAGAAAATGCACACACAAAAATACAAGATTACACACTGTACCAGTACAAACGTCTACATTTAAACCTAAAAAAGATCTTCTTTACAGTATCATACCTGTAGAGAAAGTCTAAGCTTCTCAAAGTCCTCCTCTAGAAGGATCTTCTGTTGCTCGTGAGCTTTCCTTAAGTCTACGTGCAAAATTACAAGGATGGTAAAAGAAGAGAGGTGGTGTGACTTCCTGCAGTGCTTGCATCATATCGTATTTTTTTATTAAACAAACCCCACATTCATACCTCTCATAGTACGGGCGTGCTCTTCATGGAGTGTTGCCATGGTGATGTTGTGCATGTCTCTGAGTTCCTGAATGGCTGCCTGATGGCTGACTGTCATCTCTTCGATCTAACGCACAGCCACACACGTGTACACGTGCACGTTAAAGCCAGCTAATGACAGAAACAAACCAGTCTCCTCCCACCGATGCCTTTCTCCTACCTGCTCCTGCTGTTGAGTCCTACACTCCTCCATCTCTGACCGATGCTCTGCCTTCAGGTGCTCCGCCTCTGCTGAGTGACACTTCCTGAGTCCTTCCTCCACAGCAGCCAGCTCTGCCTCCTGTTGCAGCTGCAGCTCCTGCAGCTCTCGCTCAAACGCCACCTCCAGCGCTGCCTTCTCTCTCTGGAGTCTCTCCCAGCGCACTGAGTTTGAGGCTGTGCATGAAGGACATTGTATTTTATTGATATTGTCATCTTGTTACGCGATGAGGTCTGCTAATTACATTAGCAGCTATAGAAAGCTTAAAACCAACATTTCTATTTGGAAATCATTAATGCAAGTCATTTTGTGTTGAAATATAAAATGTAAAAATAAAAAAATCTGCCTTTTACACTGATTACACCTTTACAATTCACTGTATGAACAACCCAGGTGTAAATAGGTAGTTATAATGGTCTAGTGATTCTAACTAGAATACATAAACTGTGCTTTAGTTAATGTAACAGCCGTACATTACTTTAAGTGATTTGATTTTTACCCATTTCCTCTCTGATCTTTTGCATTTCCAAAGACAACTTCCTTTGATTTTCTTCTGCGGTTTCATTCTGAAAAACAAAAATGAACGTCATTGTTGACACAGTGCACAGCCCAAGTACAAATCAACTGGAATTCTTAAACTCAAATGACCTCAGACTGGCCTTGAATTTGGCCAAAGAGAATAATAAAAGTTTAAATAATGAACAGAAGGCCAATAGTCTATCTGAAATGATTTAATTATGGATTTACTGGCCTTGTACCTACAAAAAACTTGTTGACACTGGGTTTGTTTGGCAGATCAGTCACATATATAGTTCATTTTAGCTGCAGTACGGACTGCTTTAGTTACATTTAAAAGATTACACAGAAAAATAAACATTGTAAGAACCTGTTAAATAATCTGAATTTAGTAAAGTAGAAAAAAGTCTAGCTCATGCCCTAAATTGAGTATTACTGCTTTGTACAATTCACTTACTAGGATGTTATTTGTGAGGTTACAGGTAAGGTTGATGGGTATAGTAACAGATTCCTTTTTTCATTCATTAACCAACGTAGTGGACAGCATGCTTTGATTTGAAATGTACCCAAAAATCCACACTGCCACAAACAGCTCTTAATCTTTACCTTAAATAGCAGTGAGGGATTTTTTTTACTGCTAGAAAAAAAAAAATTCTGTTGCTAATCAGAAGCTTTCCAGATGTTATTGCACTGATTAAAGCCTCAAACCATATCAGAGCCCTGACTGTGGTTCACAGATGGCTGTAGACATTCACTTTACTTCTCTCATACATGATGACAATGATTCAAACCAAAAGTTTCAAATTTGCATTTTCTTGTTGGTGCAAAAATACTCTTTTATGTCAGATTATGTTGTCTTTAGTAATTTTGGTAGGCTCTGCCTGAGAAAAGGGAAACATATGTGCGTTTGTGACACATAACAAAGTGCCCAAAGATTTCAAATTGTTTTTTTTGCTAAGTTGTGTGTTATGTTTAGACACCACACTAGTTTAGGTGTTTTTTGTGTGTGTGAATGATTCATAGGTTAATGTTAAGTGGCTTAAACAAAAGGCCATTCATCAGAAAATGGTCGGGTTCACGTACAGGACTGAAAATGAGTGAAAAAGCAGCCAATGATGCCAAAGACCTTCAGAAACCCTACCTATCACTTAACACCGCTTAAAAAAAGTACAAGAAAGTCTGGCTTATACAGAACTGTTTACACAGTACTATATACAATGCTCTAGCTGTAGTTTTTGACTGATGCCAGCAGAGGGAGCTCAAATCCACTCAAAAGTCACACTTGTGCTTTCCCTGTCTTGTATATCTGCAGTGTGGACCTGTGATTGCAGCACTCAGACAATGACCATAAAGAAGTCAGACAGTCCCCCGACAGTCTGCCACTGGTATTACTACCACAGCACCTCAGAGGTGAAATCATCCCATTAGACAGAGAGCTGGAAGAAACCAGATCAGTGACACACTGAACTCTGGTAGACCCTTTCCACAGTCACACCATTCAAACTGTTTGTCATCCAGCATCTCATTGACCATGCTGTGAACACTTCATGCTGTTAAATACTGCATGTGCCCTTAAATTCACGCTGGGCACTGTGTGCACGTGTGTCATACATATTAGGCTTGGTGTAAACACTAAGACTGCGGTATTATGTTGTAAATCTGCACGGGATGGCAGGTGAACCTTTAAGCCTTAATATGGTGATTACAGTAATACTGTGCACAGTATCATTCCAGTTTGCTACCTTGAGGCAATAATGCTGAGTGGTGACTATGAAAGCTTCTAGACCCAGCGATGTCTTCCTCAGTTCATCTCTAAGAGCTTTCAGCTGCCGCTCCTGCTGTTCGCAGCGTCCCTGCAGCCTCTGAACCTGAAAAGCGACACAGAATAATACCGGAATGAACAGAACGGAGCACGGCCCAAACGGTGCTGCAGAGTTTCTCAGTTACCCACCTCTTCTCTTTGCTTTTCTTTTTCCCTCTCCTCCGCTTGCCTCTGTTTCTCTTTCTGCTGAGCCTCCTCTTTCTCTCTCTGCAGGTTCTCCTGCTGTTCTTGCTGTAGCCTCATGGGGGCCACGCGGCGAGGGGACCCAGAGGGAGCTGAGCCCCGGACTGCTGCTGCACGCAACAAAGACAATCAAATAAGGTTAGAATGAGCGTGTGTGTGTTTGTGTGTGTGCGTGTGTGTGTGTGTGTGTGTGTGTTTTAAGGAAACTAACAAGACATTAGGGACTCACAAATGTATCAACTGAACATCAGCCAATTAAACATATATACCGAGGCCAAAGTTTATCTGTTCTGTCACATCAGTTATAGTGTTGAATGACAGAGACAAAAAGGAGAGACACTTTTAAAACAGTTCAGTAGTTTCCCAGCATAAAGAGGTAACAAACAGGAAGTAAATACATGAAACCAAAAAAATATCAGTAATGGAATCTGGCAATTTTAAACATCAAAATTCAACTGGTGAATCAGTGATCGCATTTTCAGGACAAATGGTAGTAATTTAATTAAATCTTTTTTTTATATATACAGTCTTGAGGTAGTTTCTCGTAATGAATCATTTAAACTCATGATAAATGTGTAAACGTCTCTCATATAACGATTTAACTGCAGCAGTAATATAGATTATGCTAACGTGGGTGTTTTATTTACAACATGCATATGTAAAGAAACATTTGGGCACATCAAAGTAACGGTGTCTGAAGGGGCACAATCATTAAATCGTAGCTGACACACAAGCAAGGCGATTAACCTGTGTGTCACCTTGTTACAGTGCGAGTGTGTGTATACCATAAAATTTACTCTAGCAACAGACTCACAAACCAGCCTGTAGGTGGAAGTGTGCTTTCACACAAAATAAAATCACAGCAGAACACCAAATCAACTGCCTCAACCATATAATTCAGGCCTGCTGGAGCATGGGGAGTGGTCTCCATGGCAACACGAGGCTGGGCTTGGGGAGCAGGGTCCCAGGTAATGAGTGCAAAATTGTTTGGAGGGAGGTGGGGGTGCGGAGGGTAAAATACAAAAAAAAAGAAAGAAAAAAAGAGCAACGAATGGATAGAGTGGAATAGCTGCAGATGAACTGAATAACTGTCTTGGTGATTGATGTCTATAACCAGTTTAACCAAATATAACCAAAGGGCTTCGGGTAGAAATGTAACACATTAGTAGGAGTAGCTCTCTGAAAAAATGACTGAAATAAAGACCAAAAGATAAAAAACTGCAGAGATGTTTTGATGCCATCTGTTAAAAAAAATGCAAGCGTCAGCAATTGTTCCAGAGCTCCATCTATCTCAATGTCCTTTCTTTGCCTTGAAGCCTTATTAGGAATCCCTTTCCCTTATTTTCAGTAAATGCTCTCTGCCTCTTTTTCAGGCACATGTGCACAAGCGTGCATGTGCACACACACACAGACATGTGCAGGTTCTACTTGAAAGGTTAGAGAGAGGATACTGAATACTAAATGAGCCTATATGGATGAGTGTGAAGGCAGCATGCAGATGAGAGCGGAGAGGTGGATGAATGAAAAATAACGATAGAAGAAACAATGAGAAAAGGTAATGGCATATCTTGCGGAGAGCATAGATGGAAGTGTTTGTCTGTGTGTTTTTAGGGTGTTCTTAAAGATATTAAGGCCGAGATATTCACGAGGTGAATATCAGTTTCACTTTCTCTCGCTAGCATCTTGCTGGGATCGTGTCCAGAGCAACTTCAAGGTGGAACAACAGTCTGCAAATTTCAGTAAACAAGAGCAAAATCAATGATGCTGGGAATTTGAAAGAAGAAAAATGCTTTCATTTTGGGACCGTGTAGGAGTAGACGAGGTCCGAGAAAGTAGCAGTAAAGGCAAAGGTGAACAGCAGCACTAAAGTGAGAAAATAAGTGGCCTGAGGAGATGTGTTTGACTCTGCTAGGAAACATCTGGATTCTCTCCGCAATCCCAAAAGAAAATTACTCTGCTTTTTCCAGACCACGTGGATGAAACCATAGAAACATAGAAGAAATTGTTAAATATCACAAATCTCCACCTCAAACTGTTTAGAACCACATCTGGGTTTTATAAATATTTGGTGGGCGGGACACCCCAGAGCAGAGTGAGGGGGAGCTATACAATACGTGTTAAGTCTTATTGTTCAGGGTGAATAGTGTACAATTAGTCAGCCAGTGGGATTCTGGCACAGGCTTTTTTGGACTTGCCATCGTAGGACAAGCACAGGTGTCTATATTACCATCAATAGTTTTCTGCCCCTGTGTGCGAGTCAAACTGTTTGATTTCTAGCACCTCTGTTTTGTATTGTAGACAAAGAAAACCACCATTCCATATATCTACACTTTGCAAAATAACAAAGAGGAAAAACTCACCTGGAGACTGAGGTTTGGGAGGAACCACAGCCAGCCTTTTTGGGGAGGACGGGAGAGAACGTGTGACTTCTGAACTCCGCTGAAACTCCTTCCTGCTCACTGTCACAACACAAGGTGTTGATTAAGCTCCGAATATCACACAGTGACATTTGGCTAGTGCAGCATGTGAGATATACACACATGAGTGTCAAATCAACTTTGCCCGCCTGCCTCAATCTTTTTTACTGTACTTTTTTTTCCATTTCTTGGCTGATTTTCCCCCTTTCATAACTTTTTTCCAATCTTTCCAGTTACCCCTTCTGCTTTCATCTCCAGCTACATCCCCCCTGCTGTGTAGTATAACCATGTCCCACAGGATTGCGGGTCAAAAAGAAGCTGAGCAGATGTGCTAAAAATCCTCCTTCGTCTATGTGACACTATTGCACTTTGTAGTCAAGACAGGCAACAATTAGGAACTCCCAATGATTTATTAATATTATTTCAACCCTCAAAAACATTCTCCTGCGTTTCACATTGAATCTTTTGCAGAACTAGCGAATGTAAGAACAAGTGGCTGGATTTGAAACAAGTACACGGGAGCTCAAAATGTAGAAAATTGGGGCGAGAAATTCTAAGTGGAGGAGAAAAAAGAGGTGACGCAAATAAAGAAGTAGGAAGGAAGGACGTTTCAAGAGGTTAGCAGGGAGACTGGTGTGAAGCAGGCAGGAGAGTGGGAGCGAGACCTTGAAAAGAAACTAATTAGACCTGTTACGGGAAAGAAGCCTCTGATCCTGAACAAATCCCCATATAACCCTGGAGGTTTCTTTTGCTCTGCAGCAACACTGTGTGTGCGGTGTTCAGTGTGCATGTTTTGGTAAAATCATGCAAATGTGGCTCTCAGAGGGAATCTTTATTGCCACACACTGTCACATCACATCACCGTACTGACTCGAACACACAGTGAGGCTTTGTAGAATCTGAATTTAAATCTGGATGGGCTACTTGAAAATAAAAGGTCAGCAGATGCTTGTGATGAGAAGCTGTTTAGGATAGCACAGCTGCATTTCCCATTGCCTACATACTACACGTGCTCATGACATGTTACTTCAGTCTTTTTGCTGCTAAAGGTGTTTCTACAAGTTACTCAATCATGGGGGTGTATTTAGTTTTTCCACATACAGTTTATGCATTTCTGTCAGCGTTCTGGGTCTGAGCGACCCAGGATCCCTGGGCAGTCATGGACTTGTGACATTATATGTATTTTTGGTGTTGCTGCCCCTCTTCTCCATGTTTGTAGATATGAGTGTGTGTGTGGGTGTGTGTATGGGTGCAGGTGTGTCTGAACACTTGTTTACAGGC